GAGGTGGGAATGGCCTTGGGAATTTCAGGAGAGCTGGTGGGATTTCTCAGGGGATGAGAACTTAGAACTGTGCTCCCTTAGGAAGCATTTCAGGAGTTCACACTAAACCACCACCCGAATTTCAGTTTGGAAGGAGCAAAACTGAGACTCCCCCGGGGTTTGTTTGCTGACTGATCCATCCTTAACTCCCTGTGGATGTGACTTCCAGCCTGGGATCCCTCCTCTGGACACCTGGTGGGTGCTGGAGACCTGTTGTTTGTAATATCATCTCTCAAATTCAGTAAAAATCCACTTAAATCTCCTTCTGAGGTCCTGATTTAATTCATCTGTCAGAAAAGGGCACGAAATTCCCCCAAAACACGACACCCATCCCCTTTTTCTGGTTATTTTCTGGAGTGGGCATGCCATGCTCAGAAGGAGATGTGGATCCCTCTGGAATCCCCCTGGATTCCCCAGGCTATTCCCAGCACCTGGTGGGTGCTGGAGACCTCCTGGGTCCCACAGGAGGAGAGTGGGATGTGTTTAAACCATGGCCACACACGCCCAGGGCCTGGGTGAGCCCATTCCAGGTGGGATCATTCCTGAGCCTTATGGGACAACTCCAGGGCAGCCCTGGGGTGTCCTTGGCTCACTCTGACAGTCCACACCACTGTAATTAGCTGAGCAGGTTAATTAACACCGGGGTGAGATGGAGCACCCCAAAATGTGCTGATTCTCTGGGAATACAGTGGCTAAAAGCAGCAGTGCCCAGGGAATGATGTCCCTGAGCACGTGCAGCGCCGTGTCTGCACAAAACCTCCCGTGGGATGAGCTCCACAGCCACTGGAATAACTTGGCTGGTGGGTCCCTTCCCAAGATTTTGGGGCCTGAGTTAGAGACAGTGCTCTGGAAAAGCAGCTGCCACAGAGTAGTGAGGAATCACCCAAAAACCCCACCCTGTTCCAGGGGGTGTTTTTAGCAGCCATAGGGGAGCCACATCCATCACCTCGGCCTTGTCTGACTCCCGGTTATTTTCTGGAGCGGGGGATGCCGCGCTCAGAAGGAGATGTGGATCCCTCTGGAATCCCCCTGGATTCCCCAGGCTATTCCCAGCCCTGAGCGTGCCTGGGGAGACCCACACCACTCTGATTACACCATTCCAGGGCTGAGGAACACCCCGGCCAAGGACACCCCGCTGCGCCCTGTCACCCACACCCTGACCTGTCACCCACGTCCCTGCATCCGTTGGGACATCAGCACATGGAGCATTTCCCACGGATTAGCTACAGCTCAGCTCCCTGGCAGGAAAAGAGATCCCAGTGGGATGCAGCTCGGAGTTCCTGTGGGGGTTTCCTGCGTGTTCACGGGTTGGTTGAAGCCGCGCGGGACTGTTTGGATTTTGGGAAGACTTATAAGGGGAAAAAAAAGCCTCGCTCCCGCCTCCCACCAGGCTCTGGGAAGCAGGAATTAAAGCCTAAAAAAGGCATTTTGGTGTTGTCTGATCACAAAGAATGAAACATCCCAGGGTGGTGTCAGCTCTGGCTGCAAGGAGGGGAATGGAGGTGGAACATCCTGGGATGTCACAGCACTGGAATCTCATGGGAGCAGCACATCCCCTCAGCTCCGAGCACGACACGACTTCCTAAGGGGTTTAATATTTGCAGAATCACGAAATCATGGAATTGTTGAGCTTGAGAAGCCCTCTAAGACCATCAAATCCAAGAGTTCCTCCAGCACTGCCAAGGCCACCACTAATCCATGGCCCCAGGGGCCACATCCACAGGGCTTTTAAATCCCTGCAGGGATGGGGACTCCACCACTGCCCTGGGCATCCTTTTCCAGTGCCTGACCACCCCTTCCATGAAGAAATTTTCCCTCATATCCAACCTAAACCTCCCCTGGCACAGCTTGAGGCCGTTTCCTCTTGTCCTACCCCTTGTCCCCTGGGAGCAGAGCCCAGCAGGGCTCCCCCCTCCTGTCAGGGAGTTGCAGAGCCAGAAGGTTCCCCCTGAGCCTCCTTTTCTCCAGGCTGAGCCCCCCCAGCTCCCTCAGCTTCCTCCCATCCCAGCTTCCTGGCAGTATTTCACCTCCTGGACACTTTCTCCCCAGCAAATCCCTTCTTTTCCCCTCTTTCTGCAGCTGTGGCAGCACCGGAACACCCCAAATCCTGCTTTTTAAAAATTATTCTGGCTTTTTTTTTTTTGTGCATCCCCCCTGGCTGAGACCCACCCCCCCCTTGCTGCTCCCTCTCCAGGGCAGGGCACCTCCCGGCCGGGCTGAATGACCGGTGACTTCCAAGAGTTTTTTGGGAGCGTGAAACCAAAGCCCTGGGCACGAGGAGAATCCGGGAAGCCTTCGCACTATGTGAACTTTGCAGGGTCGGGAACAGCCGGTGCTCCAGGATTTCCACACATCCTCTCCCCCTGGTGACGGAGCAGCGGATCAAATGGCCGCGGCTCCAGCTGAATCCGCACCCCCAAGTCTCCCCCGGAACCCTGGGATGCAGAATCCAGAGGGAAGATGGTGATTCCAAGCCCCCAGCCAGGCTCTGGTGTTGCCCACCACGGTCAGATCCCCGCTGCAGCCCAGGGGATGTGTGCCCAGGGAGGTGGCACAGCCCTGGGACACCGGGACAGCCCCGGTCATGCGTCACCCCTGGGAGCCGAGTGCCTTGGCATGGAAAACCAGGGCGGATCAAATTCCCGGCAGGTCCACGTGGCCCACGGGTTGGGATGAAACCTACACCCGTGGGGACGTCAGCAAGGGACAGGGACACGGGACACGGCCCCTCCAGACCCCCGGGGAGCGACAAATAAATCCCAAATGGAGCAAAGCCCCTGGGCCCGGAGCTGAGCCGGGGGTGAAGCCACCACAGCCCCCCCCGGCCCAGCGTGGCCAGCCAGGGGGATGCCTGCCAGCCATCCCTGGGATTTGCTGGTGATTCCCCCCCGATCAAATTCAGCTGCATCTTGGCTCCGGGGCCACGGGCAGCCAGAAAGCCCCCGATGATCCCAGAGGAAAAGCCCCTCCCCAAAGGAAAGCCCTTTCCAGAGGAAAAGCCCCTCCCAGAGGAAAGCCCCTCCCAGGCTGTGGCACCTGCCCTGCAGAAGGTTTGTGAACCTTGTCCCCTCTGTCCCCAGGAGGGGAGGGGAGAGGGGAGGGGTCTGGCCTGTGCTGGGCCCACAGTCCAGCCACCGGCTGCTCTTCCCACTTGCCAGTGATGGCACCACCCATCAGCCCTTCCCAGGGGATAATTCCCTATCCACTCTGCCCCCCCCCCCCCAAATGGGATCTGGCTGGTCCCCTAGGAAAAGAAGATCCCTTAGGAAAAGTGTTGGGACACCACAGAAACCCTCCCCACAGCCAGGGGCCTTCCCTGAGCCCCAAATCCCACAGACCATCTCCAATTCCACAAAACATCCCTCAACCTTCCCTGAGCACCCCAGACCTGCACTGGGGTCCAGGCAAGAGGGGACCCATCCCTAGAGCCCCCTCCACGCCCACAGTGAGCTCACCTGTCACTGCTGGGGCTGATAAGGCAAAAAACCCACCTTTTTCCTCCCAGATTTAGGAATCCCTCTGGGATGGGAGCGCAGCAGAGGGGTTGTCACCCCACAGAACGTCCCTGCCCCTCTCCCATGGCAGGAGCTGAGGCAGCCACCTCGTTACACAGACACCTTTATTCTGGTCAGAGTGAAGGCTGGGCTGGGGGGAGAGGGGGGCAGCACCCTGGGGGGCACAGGGGTCACCCAGGGGTCACCCAGGGGTCACCCAGGGGTCACCCAGGGGGCCACGTGGAGATCAGTCCTTGGTCCCGGCCTGTGTGTGGCTGCTGCCAGAGTGTAGAGGGGGGGTCTGCCCACCAAAATCCCCCCCAGGGCACTGGGGCAGCTCGGGGACCTGTGTGGCACAAGGAGTGTCCCAAAGTGTGGAGGGAGTGATGAGAAGTGTCCCCAGGTGTGGTGGGTGTGATGAAAAGTGTCCCCAAGCACAGTGGGAGTGATGAGAAGTGTCCCCAAGCAAAGTGGGAGTGATGAGAAGTGTCCCTAAGTGTGGTGGGAATGATGAGGAGTGTCCCTAAGCACGGCGGGAGTGATGAGAAGTGTCCCTAAGTGTGGTGAGAGTGATGAGGAGAAGTGTCCCCAAGCACAGTGGGAGTGATGAGAAGTGTCCCCAAGCACAGTGGGAGTGATGAGAAGTGTCCCTAAGCACAGTGGGAGTGATGAGAAGTGTCCCTAAGCAGTGTGGGAGTGATGAGAAGTGTCCCCAAGCACGGTGGGAGTGACGAGGAGCCCGGGGCCACGAGCCAAGCAGGAGCCACAACGCAGGAAGCCAAAACCCCAGGGGAGCACAGCCCCAGCCCCCCGAGGTGGGGGCTCCAGGGAGGCACAACCCCCCCACACACACCCCCAGAGCCGGGGAACACTGACTGACCGGAGGCTCCTCGGCGATCGGGGCGTCGGGAAGGGCCGGAGCCGCCCGGTTTAGCGGATGCTGCCGTCGCCGTCGCCGCCCTGCTTCTCCTGCTCGATGGACCACACCAGCTCCTCCACAAACTTCATCTCCGAGGCCACCTGCTTGGCCAGGGCCTCGTAGTGGTTCTCCAGCTTGCGGTAGCGCCGCTTGAGGCCGTTGGCCGCCTGCACCACGCTCTTGGCCTCCTCCTGCGCCTGCTTCTTCAGCGCCTCCGTCTTCTGCAGCTCCTGCCGGATCTGCCGCAGGTCCTGGCTGATGCTCTCGTTCTCCTCCTTGTACCACGACTCCTTCTCCTCGTAGATGGAGCGCAGCGCCTCGATGTCCTCCTGGAAGGACTTCTTGTTCCTCTCCAGCTCCCGCA